GAACAAAATCTGAGAGAGGTCCACATGTAGTACCTATATATGTAATATCAAAGCAATTCGGACTTACAGTTTTTCAACAAGAAGTCGAAAATATCACTTTTTACCAAAAATGACAAAAATATTCACCAAAATTAGAGAATTGAAGATATCATCACAAAATGAACAAATCTGAGAGAGGTCCACATGTAGTACCTATATATGTAATATCAAAGCAATTGCACTTGCGGTTTTTAACAAGAAGTCGAAAATATCAGTTTTTACCAAAAATGACAAAAATATTCACCAAAATTAGAGAATTGAAGATATCATCACGAAATGAACAAATCTGAGAGAGGTCCACATGTAGTACCTATATATGTAGTATCAAAGCAATTGGACTTGCAGTTTTTAACAAGAAGTCGAAAATATCAGTTTTTACCAAAAATGACAAAAATATTCACCAAAATTAAAGAATTAAAGATATCATTACAAAATTAACAAATCTGAGAGAGGTCCACATGTAGTACCTATAAATGTAATATCAAAGCAATTGCACTTGCGGTTTTTAACAAGAAGTCGAAAATATCAGTTTTTACCAAAAATGACAAAAATATTCACCAAAATTAGAGAATTGAAGATATCAACATGAAATGAACAAACCTAAGAGAGGTCTACCCAAGGTACATATACACCAAGTATCAAAGCATTTAGGCTTGTAGTTTTCAAGAAGAAGTCGAAAAAGTAAAACATTGACACGGACGACGACGACGGACGACGACGACGGACAATCACTCATATGATAAGCTCCGCTCGACAAAGTCGACAGCGGAGCTAAAAATGATTCATTGAAGGTATGTAAAGGCCGAATGAATAAACATGTGTGACTGACCGACACAGATGATTTCGGAATACGATACAACAACAAAATCAATGAACGATTCGTTTAATTTTTGATATCAGTTGAAAAAAGGACTGCATATGAGAGAAATAAAAACACTTGAAAGCTGACACAGATAAGTTGAACCTCTTCAATTTGACTAGATGGTTCGATTGAAATGCTACAACTCTCATTTTACTATTATGTTCTCAGTAAACGATTCAGTGCAGAAGATTGCGCTTGCTATCGTACATATGGTAATCTATTATTTGAAAGTGATACGATTTATCAGAGGCTGGTAAGAAACAGTCTTCTTGGTTTTCCTTACTGATTTCACAGAATACTGACATTGAATGAAAAAGGTAGAAAATACGATTAAGTGCTAGCATGTGATTTAACAGACAAAGTCACACATTACATCATGTGTGAATGAAATTTAAATTTTTTTAATCTTAAGTTTTGCAAATGAAAATACAGCATCTGTTTGATTTTTCAACACATTGATTAGATTATAATAATGCTAAAATTACACATCCATGACGATACAATCATGTTCTAACCATCATTACCTCTCCTTGGTTATTCTAAAATATTAAAAAAATCACCAATATTCAAGTTGATTTATATTCCCTGATATATATTGGGTCCTAAATTAATATACCAATTATATCAATTTTCATAAATAGTAAAGTTAAAGCTTCCACTAAAATATTTGGTTTTGAAATATGTAAAAATAAATCATCTGAATACTGCTGATTTCTTAAAATATGTCGTAGAATATTATTTAAAAATAATATTTTAGAATTTTTCTGGGTACAATTGAAGCTATTTACTGCAGAAAAAGTAATAGTATAATAAATAAACTGGACAAACAGTGAGACATTGAATATTGAATGCTATCAACAGCGGTAAAAAAATATTTCTGATAGCTCCAAAGCATGGTTAGAATGTAAAAAATAAAATTGATACAATATGGTACATACGCATCGTATATACACTGTATATATAGGTCAATATTTATTACTGCTTCAAACTCGATTCAGTAATAAAACCTATGACGATCATTACACGAGAAAATAAATTCCATTTTCAGGTTTGAATTTAAAATCATAAAAATACCTGTTTGCGACTGAAGCCTCGAGTAAAACTGCTGAGCACACACTGAAACATTCAATTTTCTACTAAATAGATTATTTTCTGCTGACACTGCTAGTTAATACTACATTTTACCTATGCTGGTTACATGGCCTTTAATGATTATGTTAATTCAAAACATTTATATATGCTGGTTCCCTGGCCAACGATGTGACACAACATGGTAGATAATTGATGAACAGGTTTTTTAGGAGACCTGAGGTTATAATAATACCCGATAAGTTGAACTGCAGGCCAGTTGTGAATGTTTCATCTTTTTATATACTTTTTGACACCTGTTGTTTTTAATTGATATTTGTGAAATTTGATATTAGAAGTCTGGTAAACATACGTATCATGCATTTTTAACAGAAAATTGAATCATTTTACTTTTTTTTTAAATGTTAATAAAACCGATGATACTAGGTGGATATAAAAGCAGGTTGAAAGATTTCAAAGGAACCATATAATAAATTATAATATATATATTATAGCAATTTTTTTGCATTATCTCCTTCATTATGATCAATTATTTTCAATTCAATTCAAATTCAATTCCCAAGCATTCCAATTTAA